TTTTTCTAGGATATTGTTTAGAATTGCTTGTAGTGCTGGTTTGGTGTTCATGAAATTTCTCAGGTGTTCTTTGTCGTTTAAGTATCTAATTTCCCCATCAATTTTGAAAGATAATTTTTCAGGATACAACAGTCTAGGTTGGAAGTTACTTTCTTTTAGGGCTTGAAATACTTCACTCCAGAGTTTCCTTGATTTGAGGGTTTGTATTGAAAAGTCTGCTGTGATTCTGATGGGCTTTTCTCTGTAGGTGATTTGTTTCTTTTCTCTTAACTGCTTGTAGGAGTTTGTTTTTCTGTTCGGTTTCTGGGATCTTGACTATTATTATAGCTAGATGTAGTTGTTTTTTTTTTATCATGGCTAGTTGGCATTGTATATGCCTCACTTATCTGTATGTCCAATTCTCTACTTCTGTCTCAGAGGTTTTCCACTATTACTTCTGTGAATAGTTTTTTTTATGTCAATTGTGCTTTCTCCTGTTTTTTGATGGACTCCCATCAGTCTTATGTTATTCTTCTTTGCATCGTCTAGCGTTGTTGGATTGATTTCTCATGGTCCCTTACTATTTTTAAGAAATCTCTATTTTCATGGTGTCTAACCATGATCCTGTCTTCTATATCTGATATTCTATCTTCAGATTCCCTTAATCTGCTGTGGGTACTTTCAGTAGAGTGTTTGATCTCCTGAATATCTGTTTGAATCTGTTTCATGGATTCCATTTCTTTCTTCTCTTGGGCAATCATGGTTTCCATTTCCACCATCTCTGTAGATATCTGGGAGATTATTTCCACTATGAATTTTTCCTAGAGCCTCATTCATCTGTTTTGTTACTTTCTGTGCTATCAGTTCAGGGTATCCAGGTGGTTGGTTATGGGACTTTTCCATCTCATTTCCCCAGGATTTACCCTTGGTGGGGTGGAAGTCTGAGTTTGTGTCTTGCTTAAATGTCTTCTCATTTTTGTTTTTGCAACTGTCCTTGGCTTAACTCCTGGATTGATAGTTTGAAATTGTTTATTGTAGGTATCTTTGTTGCTTGTAATCAGAACCCTTATGGAAAGATTGCTTCTCAGAGGTGTCTTCCAGATATAGCTGGTCTTTAAGTTTTGAGTCTCTAATGACTCTAAGGCTATCTTATTTTCCTTATATTAGGAAGTTTCATTGACTAGATCAATCACAACACGTTAGACGAAATGATATAATCAGCAACACCATTGCATCAAATACATCATCAAAAATGACATTTTGTTGTAGTTATTAATCTATCACCTTTAGCTGTGTGAATTAAATCAAGATCGAGGACCAACTCAACATATAGTGAATAAACTCTTCAATATAACAACTTTACCCTTTGCAATGGGGAGTTAGAAGGGGTTTGGGAGGGAGGAACAGATGGGAAGAAGGATAGGGGAAGGTTAGCAGTGTGGCTAGAGGACACAGGTGAGAAGGAGAAAGAGAATAATAGGAAAATAAAGAAGAACTGCAAATGAGGACCAAAACAGGGACAAAAAGGGAAGATGAACAATGTGGGAGAGCATGAGAGTGAGTGTAAGAGAGAAAGGAAAGAGAAAAGAAAGAAGGAAAGAAAAGACAAAAAGGAGAGAAAAACATATTTGCAAAGAGTAGGAAAAAAATTAAAGATGAAAGGAGCGAAAGAAAAGAAAAGAGGAAAAAACAAACTAATAATACTAATTTTGGGAATAAAAAAATAAAATGAATATGAGTATCAATAGAGCCCTAGACAAAAAACATATGGTCTTCTCAATAAATGTGGAAAAAGCTTTTGAAAAAATACAATATACATTTATGATTAAAAACCCTAAAAAAATTTAAATAGATGATCTATAACTAACTCTAATCAAAGCCATCTATGAAAAACCAACAACCAATATCATACTAAATGGTCAAAACCTGAAATCCTTCACACTAAAATCACAACAAGACAAGGATGTCCACTATCACCACTCTTGTTCAATATAGTATTGGGAACATTAGCCACAGCAATTAGACAAGAGAAAGAAATAAAAGAATAAAAATAGAAAATGAAGAAGTCAAATTATCTTTATTTGCAGATGACACAATACTCTACATAGAAGACCAAGGAACTCCACCAAAAGTCTTCTAGACCTAATAACCAAATTCAATAAAGTAGCTGGATACAAGGTCAACACACAAAAATCAATAGCTTTCCTCTACACCAATGACAGACTCACTGAGAGAGAAATACGGGAAACAATTCCTTTCACAGTAGCATCCAAAAAACTGAAATACCTAGGAATCAACCTAATGAAAGAAATCAAAGACCCCTTCTCTGAAAACTATAGCACTTTCAGAAGAGATGGAAAATGGTATCAGGAAATGGAAAGACATCCTTTGCCCCCTGGTAGGAAGGATCAACATAGTGAAAATGCCCATAGTTCCAAAACTACTATATAGATTCAATCCCAATTGAAATTCCAACAACATACTTCATGAGAAAACAAGTGACTGAGAAAACAATCTAAAAATTCATTTGTAACAAGAAGAGACTCAGAGTATCAAAAGCAATTCTAGGTAACAAAGACATGGCAGGGGGTATTACAACCCCCAACTTGAAAGTATACTACAAAGCTACTCTGATAAAAATAGCATGGTATGGGCAAAGAAACAGACCTGAGGACCAGTGGAACAGATTAGAAGATGCAGAAACAACACCAGACACACTCAGCCTCCTCGTCTTTGACAAAGGAGCCAAACACCCTCACTGGAGGCAAGATAGCCTCTTTAATAAATGGTGCTGGAGAAATTGGGTTTCAACTTGCCAAAGCTTAAAACTAGACCTATATCTCTCACCATGCACTCAACTAAAATCAAAATGGATTAAAGATCTAAATATTAAAACAAAAACACTGAATGGGCTGGAACAGTTTAGGTAGAACTCTTGAAGACATTGGTGTAGGAACAGATTTTATGAACAAAACCTCAGTTGCCTGTGTCCTAGAACAAACAATCAACAAATGGGATCTCTTCTTACTAAAATGCTTCTGCACAACAAGACAAACTACCAGCAGTGTGAAGAGACAATCCACAATGTTGGAAAATATTTTCACCAGCAGTCCCTCACACAAAGGTCTACTTTCTTAAATCTATAAACTTAATAAAATCAGACCACCCAAACTTAAAGACCCAATCCAAAAATGGGCATCTGAAATGTACAGACATTTCTCACACAAAGAAATAGAAATGGCAAATAAATATATGAAAAAATGCTCAGCATCACTGGTCATTCAAGAGATGCAAATGAAAACAAGCTGAGATTCCACCTCACCCTAGAAAGAATGGCTGATATCAAGAAATCAACTAAGAACAAATGCTCGCAGGGCTGTGGGGAAAAAATAACACTGCTCCACTGCTGGTGGGAGTGTAGACTGGTGAAACCACTGTGGAAATCAGTATGGAGATACCTCAAACTACTAGGACTCGAAGTCCCATTTGACCCAGCTCTTCCCCTGGTCGGCAACTTCCTCAAACACTTAAAAGTATCATACCACAGTGATATATGTGTACCCTTGTTCATAGCAGCATAGTTTGTAATAGCTAAAACTTGGAAACAGCCCAAATGCCTATCAACTGGAGACTAGATAAAGAAAATGTGTTTTTAAAAATTAAAATGGAGAACTACTCAGCCATAAAAAATGAGCAATTAGAGATATTTATTGGTAAATGTATGCATATTGAGATGATACTCTTAAGTGAAATAAATAGGAAACACATGTATAAATTTCAAAAAAAGATGCACATCATATTTATCTGCAACCACTAGGGAGTTAAGGGGTATTTCCATCCAGGGGCAGTGATGAGAGTAGCTTCTTTCTTTTCCATCATTATAGTACTGCTAAAAGCTGTTATCTCAAGTCTTCTGTCCACCACTAATTGCAGACACTGCTGGAAGAAGTCACTACACAATAGTTTATTTTGGGTGCCACATCACTCCTCAGTCAATTTCACATATTTCACTTATGAGATCATCTGGTTCTGAAGGGCCACTCACTGTCATCTTGGTCAGCCAATCGTCTTCACAACAAGATTTGTTGACAAGCCCTGGATTTTCTGCAAGTGCTTCATTAATTTCAGCTACTTCTCCTGACAGAGGAGAACAGAGTTCACTGGCAGCTTTCATGCTTTCCAAAGCATCAAACTCATCTTGCTTTTTCAATTTTGTCCCAACTTCAGAGAGACTACAATAAACAACATCTCCCAAACTTTCCTGTGCAAAGTTGCTGATTCCTACCGTTCCAATACCATTTTGTGTTATTATCCATTCGTGTTTCTCTGTGAATTTACACCCTTTGAGCACAGCTGTCCTTTGCACAGGACTACATGGCACCCACCCACAGCTGCCAGGGCCCAATTGGGTAGAGGATGGAGGGCACCAAGGCTGCATGCAGGGTGCCAGCCACAACGCGCACACTGCAGGCCACTTGCAGCTCTATGTTCACAGGGGTGCCAAGGCCAGTTTACTTTTCTTTAATTAAAAAAGACTTTTTTTAATCTTAAAGAAATATTTTGTACTCTTATTCTAAGGGAAATTGTCCAAGAAAAAGAGAGAAAAATATTGATGCAAAATAGAGGCAGAAGAAGTGTAAAAAAATCCCTGATAATGTAGACTGTGAGAGAAATCTACAGTGTAAGGTAAAGGTAAGGTTTGGCTTTTTCTTGCAGCATGTAAAATCCTTCACACTGACAGGAGTTAATCAGGAAAATATGTAGGAATTTAGTGGTCACTCAATAGAAATAGTACAGACAGATATTTTCTTCTGAATATTTCAATATCTTCATTGAAATAGTAACCAGTTCATCATCTGTGTGTATTGTGAAAAGAGAAGTCATTTCAGGAGTTTTAAGATCAGAAAAAGTGTACAATGCTCATATAGAAAGAGAGAATAGAGGTAAGTGGTACTCATGCAGGTTCAAGGGCTCCCTGGTGGTAGCACTCTTACATGCACACTTACTGCAAGTTGCAGGATCCACTGCTGATTCCCTTCAGTTTCAGCAGCCCGTGGTCAGCCACCAAGGAGCCAGGGAATAAATTGATTTTTTTCTGCTGGACACTGTAGACAGGGAGGGGCAGGTGGACATGAGTTCATGCAGGACATCATCAGAAAAAGGGAACATGTTTTAAGATAGATAAAGAGTGTTTAAAGTAAAAAGAAAAATAGAAGTCACTCATGCAATTAAAGATTTGCAATTCTTAAAAAACAAGCATAGAAAGTCTTTAAAATCAACTAATATTTAAAAAAATACTAGTAAGTTTCAGGTTAGTTGTTGCTACTCAGCAATGCATTCTGTGTCCACAAAGTGGCATTCTTGAGCTTTGTTGACAGGAACATAAAAAATCAGTTAAATATCCAGTGTGCAAATGTTTTCATCAAGCACTTCCATACCTTGTTCCTGAAGGTAAATTCACATATGTGTACCCTGAGATACATATAATATTACTTGCGTGTAAGAAGGCCAAACATTCATCAACAACACAGGTAGATATTACTGATTATACTTATGTTGTCCTCATCAGATATGAAAATAATTAACAAGATCTCTGGATAACAATATCTTAAGATAATTACACAAAATCAATATTTATGGTAAAGTATGCAAATCTTATTTATACAAAACCTGTAAACAATGAACTAGATGAATTTTGAAGTGAACACACGTTAAAAATTTCCTCAAGATTCTTGTGGCAGTAGTTTCAATATATGAGATTCATGTGACATCAATCATGCTGTTTCTCTGTGTTGTGGCTCTAACTTGGCACACTGTTGTTTGTGAAGCTCTGTTTTTACAGTTCATTTAGTCTCCATCATAACATTTTATCCAGTGGGATGCTGTATGTGTTCCACAGTCCCGGTCAGTGCTTGGTATAATCTGTATTAACTGTCACCGTACTTTGAAATATGGGGCCCAGTGAGGACAGTTGTTTAGGTTCTGCTTCTTTGCATTCCTTCTGCATTACCAAAAATGTCATCTAAACTTTCTTTGTGATTGTGGTAACTCTTCCTCTATTGCATCTCCAACACAGGCTCAATACCTCTGTCATACAATTTTAAAAATAATATGAAGATTGTCCATTCCCAACATAATCCTATGACTTTCGGGTGTGATTTTTGTACCTGTTATCTTTGGGGTTTTTTTGATACCTCTTATGGCCAGATATTTCATGTTCCCAAAGTCTCCAGGGAACTTTTACCAGCATCCTGGGAAACTCTTCTTCCTAGAATTCTTAGTAGAATTCTTACACAGAAAATCAATCTTGTTTTTGTATATCTTGAAAGACAAAACCATAAAGAGAAGTTAATTGGGAGATTTTTTTTGAGATGCAGGTGTAGAGCAGAGAAATTTGGAGACAATATAACTTTCTCTAAATTAAAAGGTATGCATCCCCATGAAAAAATAAATAAAAAATAAATTTTAATCAATGTGAATTCAATGATATATATCTCAAACGGGTAAAATGGTTATTTTTAAAAATGAAATCAATATCATAGGATGGCTTAGTTTAAAAACAGCAAATAATTCTCTTGCAGTCTGTTGTAGAAACACACATACACATACACACACCAAACACATACCTACATATATGGAGGTTCCAAGGGCAAATTTTTTGTTCATAATTTTGGTACAGATATTTCTCACATTCCATATAGAAGCTTTGGACTGCTAAGACAGTCTTCTACTTACTGGGTGTGGTATGTATTATTGTTCAAATTTTTGATGCTCATTAGTATGGAACTCAGACTATGGGATAATTATATCCTTTATACTCCATTGTCATTAAAATTGGTTATAAATTTTTACCTAATATACGGAAAGAATTAACATCATCTGTATGCCTGTGTACTAACTTTAAGACCCATTATATATTTCACAGCTTAGTATGTTTTCCCTTTATCATGAGCTTAGAAAATGCCCAGAGAATAACTATATTTTTTGTAGACTGTGATCTGAAATGAAGAAGAAACAGCACAGAATCTTCTGGAGCCATGATGTAGCGTGAGGAGAAAATTAAACACAAATATTCTTGAAGGAAAAGTGTTAAAATCCTCATAAAGTTCTTTTTTAAAAATTATTTTATTGGTATATCTTAGGTATGCAACACAATTACATTTCTCATTGGGAAATTGTACCTTTACATGATGCATCTTGGTTCTTATTTTTTCCTCATTCCTAGCCCTCCCTTCACTCCCTCCACCCTTCCCTATTTATAAAGACTTTATTTCCATTTTTTCCATTTCTCATCATTTTTCCTTTCCCTTCTTTCCTTTCCCCTGCCCCTCCCACTATCCCTACCCCTTTGGACATTTTCTTCCTATTTTGCATTATCGATTATAAGTCAAATTATCATTATTTGCAGATGACATGATACTCTATATAGAAGACCACAAGAACTCCACCAAAAGTCTTCTAGACTTAATAATCAAATTCAGTCAAGTAGCTGGTTACAAGGTCAACACACAAAAATCAATAGCTTTCCTCTACACCAATGACAGACTCACTGAGAAAGAAATATGGGAAACAATTCCTTTCACAATAGCATCCAAAAAACTGAAATACCTAGGAATCAACCTAATGAAAGAAACCAAAGACCTCTTCTCTGAAAACTATATCACTCTGAAAAGAGAGATTGAAGATGATATCAGAAAATGGACAGAAATCCCCTTCTCCTGGGTAGAAAGGATTAATGTAGTGAAAATGACCATACTTCCAAAACTGCTATATAGATTCAATGCAATTCCAATTGAGATCCCAGCAGCATACTTCACGGACCTTGAGAAAACAATCCAAAAGTTCATTTGGAACAAGAAGAGACCCAGAATAGCAAAAGCAATTCTAGGTAACAGAGACATGGCAGGGGGTATTGCAATCCCCAACATGCAACTATACTACAAAGCTAATGTGATAAAGTTCTATAAAATAAAATTTGACAGAACACTAAAGGATTGTGCACTGTCTGAAAGGGAGTTTATGCCTAAGATGCAAGGATGTTTTGACATGCACTATTCAATAAGTGTAACATACTACTTAAAAAAGGCTAAAGCATAAAAATCATACAGCCAAGTCAATAGATGCAGAAAAAACATTCTGGCACAATTTAACATCATTTCATTTTATTAACTCTCCACAAATCATGTATAGAAGGAATGATCTTTACTGAAATTAGGTTCATACATGTCAAGGGCACAAGTGACATCATATCAAATCCTAAAATGTTAAAAATTCCCCTCCAAGTTCAGGAACAGGAAAAGGATATATACTTTGTTATGTCAAACAGTTCTGGAACCCCAGGCTGAGCAATTTGTCACAAAACAGAAATTAAATGCACCCTTGCTACAAAAAAGTAGTAAAATCATCTAGCAGATCATACCATTTTGTGTACTGAAAATGCCAAGAACTTTAGCAATAAAACAATTAGCTCAAGTCCAGAATTCAGTTAGTTGCAAGTTATAAAATCAATATATAAAAGTAAGTTGCCTTTCCATATAGCAACAATGAGTTTTCCAAAAATTAACCCACTTATTCGCAGGAGAAATAGTAAAATACTTAGAAATAACCAAGTAGATGGAAGTTCTGTGCATTAAAACTACTGAAATTAATTAGACTAAGTGAAGCAGGCTGCCCCCCAGGTCCCACCATTCTCTGCTCCCCTCAACCTAATACTGCAGCCATATGAAGTCTAGGAAGTTGACCTATCTCGAGGGCAGCTACTGAAGGATGGTGGCCAGGGAGGGACAGTCATCAGGAATGTGGGACCATAATGATGGAGCCGTTGTCCAGGCTGCTGTCCTGGATGCTGAGCTCCTGTGGCTCTCATGTCTCTCTGAGTGAGGAGCTTCCTGGTCGCCCATGGTCCTGGATTCCAATTATCCAGGATGCAGAAAAGCCCAGTGGAGAGTAGAAGTACTGGAAATGGTGATGGAGAGTTGCATGTGGTTCAACAGATAAACAGAATGACTCTGGTGAGTATCAGGTTCATGCCAAGAGCACCTCATTGCTCCTTGGAGATGAGATTCTCTCTCTCTCTCACCTTTTTCATTTTGTTAAGACAGATTCTCACTGTGTAGTTCAGGCTGGTCTTGAACTCACTATGGAGCCCAGGTTATCCTTGAACTCTTCACAATCCTCCTGCCTCAGCCTCCTGATTGCTGGGATTACATGTGTGGGCCACCATGCCAGTCGTCTTTGGACATTCTTACTGGACTGTGTTTAAGAGTAAAATTCCAGCCATGTTTGTCTTTTAATAACAATTAGAAATCTACATTTCCAAAGGAACCCACTCAACAGAAGAGGACATCACTGAGGACACAAATGACACAGAGCTGGTGGCAGCTACCAGAGAGAACCATGGCTCAAAGGAAAGTATAAGTCAGTGTCCTTGAACACAAT